CCAAACCAGAGCAGTTGGATGGAAACACTTTAAAGAGGTGGACCATCATCACAGATTTATTTTTACATATCGTGCCTGCTGAACCGTCACATAACTGAACACACAAGCAATGTTTTCTGCTACCTCCAGGTGGTTAGAAGGCTCCAGGCCCAGTCTGACAGAAAATGATTTGGCTTTACTAATACACACAATCATCACATTACGCAGGCATGAAGTAATCAGCATAAAGAAAGCTAATTAGTATAGGATGTGGCAGTACAGATTCTCAAAAGAAACACACTAGCTCTTCAAACCAGTCAAACTCTCTTTCACCGAGATTTTTACTGACCTCCAGCCAAGAAATAATTTTCTTAATATATAAAAATTTCTTCATATATCACAACTTTTTTCTTCAATAAACAACACATAAAACCTCAAACAAAGGTTTTATTTTATATATATATTTTATAAACCAAAAAATTCACTCCCTCCCCCCTCCACATTCACCTAATCATACACATGAAATATATACAGGAAAAGGAACAGAAAATGTATACTGAGGAATGTACACTGTTCCACCTCCTATGGTCACTTTTGTAGTGATGATAGCTTCAGATTATTTTCTTGGAGAAGAAAAGGACACTGGGAGAGATCCCCATGAGTATAACATAGAATGAATTAAAATGCAATAGCAGAGAGGAAAGTGTATTCAAATGATCAGAAAAATAACATAATTTTCATAAGGAACCAAATCTAGTAACACACAACTTCGAAGTATCAATGGAGCCAATGCTGTTTTTACTTGACTGCAGACACAGAAAACAACACATTAAGAATGCAGCTTCAGCAAAAGCATAAGCCTTTATTTTCTTCTTACACACCTATAACATCATTTTGCTTTCTCCTTCCCTGAGCCTTAGCATTAAGAAACTTTCTTGCTCCACAACAAGTTGCATCACTTACCTGAAAATAATCTTTGTTGGGCTAAGCCCAGATGGCAAAGCCAGTTAGCAGGGCAGCAAGGAGGGTAAGAGAATGGATCCAGGGAGCAGGACTGCTCCTTCTACTCAGATTGCCATCTTCAGCTGCTTTTTTCATGCCCACCTGAGCTAATCTAATGGCAAAGTGGGAAAGGCTTGCTCCTTGTTTCCTCTGTTCTTCTCCCTTCTCTAACTGAATCCCTAGTTTTCTTTCACTTCTTCTCTATTTCCCATTTAGTTTCCCTCCAGAAGGTGTTCTTCCAATGCAGTAATTCTGATAATTGTCAAGTCTTCTTATGAGCCAAACACAATCATTTTCAGTTTAAAGGACCTATTTTTGGCATTAGAATACCCTTCAAATTGTATTGCAATGATATGTTCCTTAGAAATCTTTACTGGTTCTAAAGTAGTCTTGAGAAATAGGAACATATGAAACATAGTAGCAGAAAATCCCCCACACATATGGAAAACTGTAACATACTTTTTCACTAATTATTGAACATGCTACTGGTAAAATCAGTCTTGCACTTACCTGCTGCAATGTGCACCATTAACTTAAGACTTCTGAGAAAGAATTGTTTGTTAGATTCCTGGAGCACTTCTTTATCCTTAAGTAATTATGCCCTTGAAGGCTTAATTTATAGAAAAAGTCAACATAGACTCTTTTACATGATGTTGTGCTTTCATTTTTGAACACTGGATTACTAAAGAATTGTTAATTTGGTAACACATAAGGATGAAGATATAAAAAGAATGTTTCTGAGCTTATTACATGTTATGATTACTAGAAATATTTGATTAAAAAGATCAAAGTCAGCTAAATCTAGGTGCATGTTAAAGACAAGATATTTAGATGAGAAAAGCAAAATGATTAAATAAATGTTTTAATTTACATCTCTTAAAATTTTTAAGAGAATGTGAAAGTGAAACAGAGCAAAAGAAGTTGAAAATCAAGCAGATTACCTATGTTATTATTTTCTGAAGGATAAGCAACTTGGAATGATGAACAGAAACATTTTTTAGGACAAATTTTAGACTTAACTTCTGGGGAAACCAGCTGTTTATATATTTCTTATACTTTCTGTACTTCTGTTTCAAAATAATCACATCAACAATGAGGCAAAACAAGGCCTTGAGGCAAGACTTTTCAACATGAACTGACAAATATCCAGCAAGCTCTCGGATTTTTTTTTTTACACATAAATTCCATTAGACCCATAAGAACATGTCTACCCTGCATATAATATACTGGGAGAAAAAGTGGATCATTTATTTTAAAAGTGGGTCATTAATTTTAAAATGGGGAACATTTTGAAGTTAATTACAAATATTCAGACTACAAAAAGGAAAACATTTTTTATTGTGAAGATGGTGAAGCATAGGAACAAATTGTCCAGCGAATTGATAGATGCCTCATTCCCGGAAATTTTCAAAATCAGGTTGATTGGGACTCAGATCATCCTGCTGTAGTTGAAGATGCCAATTGCAAGGTATTGGACTAAAGGATCTTTATAATTCATACACAAGCTATTCTATTATTCTATGATCACAAAAGCTATTAATATAATGAAATTTTTGATTTGTGATAAAATGTCAAGGGTGGAAATACTGGCATCACTCAGAAGCATCACCTATTCTGGTCTGCCCAAGAGCAAATTATTTAAATGACACTTATTTTTTCGGTATTTTCAAATAAAAATTGTGTGCAAGTAGTCCAGTCTCTTGTAAGAAATGAACTACATAGTCAGTGTCAAACAAAGGACCAAGAAAAGAACAACAAAGAACTGTATTATGAAGGTGTCCGAGATTGAAAGGCAAGATGTATTCCATTTGCTATCTGTATGACAGTTGTCTTCTGTTAAGTGGGCAGTTTTCCTTATTTTTTCCACAACCAATCCCCTCTCAGGGGAGACATCTGCTGATAATGGGCTATTGAATGTCACTGTGTGGCTGGTAAGAACTGTAACATCCTATTGTGAGATGCTCTGCCCAGAGGGAGGAGCCAAGCATTTCTACCTGGATATAATCTTGAGTTTCTGGAACACCAGCACAGCTTTTCCTGCACTGGATTTCCAAGAGGAACAGCTGCCTCTTCTACTGCAGGAAGACTACACCCTTTCTACAGGATCACTGTTGCAACAGAACCACACCTGCCACTTCAGGAGGACTGCAGCCACAATTCCAATGGGACTGCTGCCAACACCCTGACCAACACTGTGTCAGGTTGTATTCTGACTCTGTCAGTGTTGTTTTTGTTCACTGCATTGTTTATTTTATATTTTTATTTTCTTCCCTAATAAAGAACTGTTATTCCTGCTCCCATATTTTTGCCTGAGTGCCCCACTTAATTTCCAATTTATAACAATTCGGAGGGAGGGGGTTTACATTTTTCCATTGCAGGGGAGGCTCCTGACTTCCTTAGCAGACACCCGTCTTTCCAAACCAAGACAGAAGGATAAAAGAATAAACAAAAGGAACAAAGTATAGGAAAGTACAGTAGAGAAGAATTTTTTAAAGATTTTCTTCTTCATGAAAGAAAAGGAAGCTATAGAATTCCCTATAAACAATAATAATGATAATAATAATCTAATCTTCTACTCATTTCTTAGTAAGAGACACTTTTATATATGAATAAAGAACTCAGCAGGGCGGGTATTGAGGGTGTATATAGTGACATAATTCTCACAGAGCTCAGTTAGAATACCCAAATAATTAAAGTCTGAAAGCTGTGTCTCAAGGGCAAGGTAAACTCTTCCAAAATTTTAGAATTTGTTACTTAAAGCCTTTCTACTGTATTAGGCTACTCAGGAAATTTTACAGACATTTTCCAAAAAGTAAACTTCTTAAAATACCTGCTGAATTCTTGCAGACTCTTATCAAAGGAATTCAAGAACCATTTGATTTATTCACCAAAGCTTTGACAATGTAACAGGGGGGGCAGGGGAAAAATTAAACAATTAAACAAAAAAATTAAACAATTAGTGGCATTCATCTTGCTTTAAATATTGTCCAATAGCTATTGTTTTCCAGCCCAGGCAGAAAAAACAAAAACAAAACAAAAAAAAACCCAAAAAAATAAAACCAGAAAAACCTCCCAGACCCAGAGCAGCAGTAGATTTTTTTTTTCATTTTTCTAATTCCTTTTCCTTTAGAAGATCAGAAGAAGTGAGACCACTTCCAACTGGGAATGATGCTATAAATTTTGCATATGTTTGAAGTAAAAGGAAAGATTCTGAACTTATTTGAGTCTCAGTTCCTACTGTTTTATTTTTTTTTTTTTTTCTGATTTTAAGCCAAAAGAGTAACTTTCTGATGAGGTTCTACTAATCCAGCCACCCATTCATAACCTTGTAGGTTATAAATAACCATTATTTTAAGGTAACCAACAGTAAGTAGCTTGGTAATGTTGTTCAGGTAGGAATACTAACAGTGACTATTGTTATTTCATTGTGATAATATTAAAAGATAGATATGAAATACCAACTGTACTGGACTGAAAAATAACAAAAAAGCAAAAGGCACAAACAGGAAAAAAGTAAATACTAAGAACACAAAAGTAACCACACGAATCAGACCACAGGTCTATTTAGTCCTGTATCCACATCTTGTCAATGGCTAAAAGTCTGTTTCTGAAGCACGGGATTAATACAGAGCAAAATACTTTATATTTAGGTCTCCGGCCTCCAAGATTTTTCATATTTCTCCTATAAAAGGGGAATTAAACAATCCGAATTCATCAATGCATTGCTATTATTCACTTCAACGCAAATGGACACAATTAAATTATTTTTGCAAGAAGTGGCAAATGCAGTCCTTCATGACCTTTTTTCCAAGGATAACTGGCATCTCAGTAGTGAACTGGAATAATTTTCTTAAAAAATAATCATAAAAAGTGAAAAATAATGAGATAAGAAAAAATAATATTCAAATAGCATAATAAAAAATAAGAAAGCAAAATGTAAATGTTTAGTGTTTCTTTTTTGTAAAACGATAAAAAAATCTAGAATAATCATCATAGATGTTTTAAAATAAATATCTTACCTCATATGCATAGCCCAAGAAGGAAAAATGACTCCTAAAGTAACCAAGTTTGTAAACACCTATGAAGACTAAACAACGGATAATTTCCAAAATTCCTGCTTTGGACCTAGAAAAGAGAATAAATTCAGATTAACATCCAATCTTTTCTTCTTTGCTAAGTTCAGTGAAAAAGAGAAAATAGAATTAGTTTGTGGTGTCCTTCATTTACATACAGTCATTTTTCTTAAAGTTAAGTTTTTATGGTACATACCTTACATGGACTTACAACCATGAATTTCCTAGTGGTGAGTATGCCCGTACTAGCAAAATATATTTGAACAAACATGAATGGAGCTGTATATTTAGTTATTGTCTTTTGATCGCAAGAATTAACACAATAAAATTCTGAGAACTCCTACATAAGTAGTTCATAATGTTTTCAGTGGTCTGCTTCTGTAAATTTTTACTAATACCTCTTTATTAACTCTCTAGGTTATTCACATGTCTGGCATGTTGACAGATTTTTACCTATTCTGAATTAAACTGTTCAGTTCTTAAAAATGAAAGTTATTCCTCTCTGAAAACATAATGAACAGCAGGTGCAAAACAGTACTGGCACCTCAGTCTCAAAGGAAACTTCTACTCCACATTTCTTCCCTGTTTAGGCAAATAATTTCTTTGCAAGAAAATGTGCATGCTGCTGACTCTTCTTTAGTGCCACAGTGCCCATATGGACTACTTCATAATGTAACTCACTGGCCTGGTGTATTCAAGATCCAATTTTATTTGAAGCCATACTGATTAGGTTTAGTCTCAAGTCTTTCACGTGATTTTGAGCCTGCTCTGAGCTACACTGTGTGCTCTTCATATACCACCACCGTATCTTACACCTATGGAGTGCTACACAGGGCTCATACAATCTGACCTGACCGTATCTGACACCTATGGAGTGCTACACAGGGCTCATACAATCTGACCTGACCGTATCTGACACCTATGGAGTGCTACACAGGGCTCGTACAATCTGACCTGGAACAGCCTCAGACAGCTGGCAGGTCCCACTCAGCTGCCACTGTCCCAAAGCCAGAGGAGTGGACCCAGTAACTGCAAGCACAGAGGAAGACATGAAGAGCCCTTCCCAAAACTTTTCTGCAAGGAATAATACAGATGCAGTCACCACTTGCTATGGGGACAATCCTGGATTTAGGTGCCAGATAGTCATGTTATTTTCTAGTCAGCAGACAGCCATGTGTGGGGGTCTGGGTGAATATATCTCTTTATCAATATAATTTCTGAGATGTACATATAGCTATAAATAATCCATAATGAAAGAATAAAAAAACCCACATATCTTACTTGTTCTCCATAAGTAGGCCAAAAGATGCCAGGGACAGAATGATAAAGCCAATTCTCATGAGAACTGTTCCTTGTGACAACATCTGTTAAAAGGCAGACAAAAAAATTCATTTAGAGTTATTTTCTGGAGATAAATGGAATTTTTATGGAACAGTAGCTTGAACTTACTCACTGAGCGAAGCTAGTGTCACCTTTTAAAGTAATTTGCTACTTTAAATTTTAGGAAAAAAAATCTGCTATGGATAGCACTCATACCTGGAGTAACCACCTTCACAGTTGTTTCCTAAAGTTATCCCCTTCTGTCCTATGTGTTTTTTTCCCAAAGTTATTTGATTGCCTTTTGACTCTACTCAAGAGGGAAGAAACTCGCTTCTAGATAAAAATCCCAGCAGCCCTCTTCTTTAAATTTCATATTATGTTACCAGGTCCTTACAATAGCTATCTTTGAATCCCAGTAGATACAAAAGTCAATGTACTGGTGAAAATAACAACTCACAAGACATGAACATATTTAAGATGAAACAAAATTAATGTTTTCCCTTCATGAGAACTCGACACTTGGTTCCCAAGTCAGCAAAACTTTTTAGCTCATATCATTAACTTCAATCAGACTTAAAACAATTTTAAACATTAACATGTGCATGAGTATTTAGATGAATCACAGCATGAGCACTTCTGTCCTTAAAATTTACATCAAAATGACATAAAGAAAATTTACATCAAAATGGCATAAAGAAAAACAGAAATTATTTTGATTGTAAAGTTTGAATTTTTAAAATTTATTAAATATTTATTTTGTATTATATACAGCTTCCTTTGAAAATCAATTATTTAATCGGTTTCCTTTTTTCCTTCCTTGATTTTGTTTCAAATATTAGTTTTGAAAAGCTTTTGGTTTTGTGGGTTTTTTTGTTTTGGTTTTTTTATTAAAACAAAACAAAACAAAAGTAGTGGATCTGACTGAGTTACAGAAATTCTTTCTTGCTTCAGCAGCAAAAGAGTTTATGAACAGCATCTTGCGCTTCATTTGCAGGCATTGGAAAAATAAAACTCCACAAATGTCTGCCCTGATTTCTATAAATCCCATTCAGTGACATACCCAACTTCCTTCGCTCGTGGCCCCAAACTCTCAAAGAGATCTAAGGTAAGTATCTGTGAGTATGGGAGGCCACAGGAGGATACTCTCAAGTTTTACAGCTGTGTGAACTTTGAGTACCCATGTTTGCAAAACACATCAAACCACACACTCAGTCTGGGCGGGTTTCTGTTGTTTTACTGAAGAATCACAAACACCTACTTAGATATCCTCAATAGTTATTGAACAAAGAAAACTCAGTCCCAGCAATGAGCAAACTAAACAGCAGCCTCACCAGTTTACAAGCCAGAACACAGTTCTCACAAATGACACCTGTCAAGCCATTCTGTTGCACAGATTTGTACCAGGTGAGAATCAAAATTATTATTGCATTTCCACATTACCAATCTGTTCCATTTCTCTTTATGATAAACTTTTCATTGTTAGCAATAGGAGAAATTTGTTTTGAAGTGACAAAATATTTGGACAGAGCTTTTTTGTAAAAATCAGGCACAGACTCTATTTGAATTTAATTAAATGAGGAGTGCTTTAACTGCTCATCTATCCATAATATTGAGTTCAACTTCCACTTCAGCTTCCTGTACAATCTGTGTCATACAAAAATTCAAGAAGTGAGCAAAGAAAAATATGATTTGGCACAGGCATAAGGGAACTCACCCATAAATTTCTTAGAAATGCTTTGATAGGCTTTTCAATGATTGTTACTTGCCTAATAAAGGAGTTTTCCAGGGAACAAAGACTGAAATTCAAGATTTTTCTCCTTAAAGACTGTCCTCACTTTTAAGTTGAAAAATTACACCTTCTTTAAAATCTACTTATTCTTGCCAGGTGGGTCTGATTTTTCTTTGTTTCCACCGTGATGCACCAGGTCCTACAGACTGTCTGAAAAATGCTCCCACGGTGGTAGAGCACTATTCTGAGAGGCAAGGTTTTGTATCTTCCTAGGCAGGAAAGAGAACTAAACATCAAATCCAGATATCCATCAAGTTATGGAGTTGCTACAATATATGGCTACAATCACACTTTGTGGGAAAGGAATGAAACTGCAATGGTTTTCATACAAGTGCCAATACTGGTCTTGAGGAAGGATTTAAGAGTACATGCTATGAATGAGCAAGGGTGTCCCTAGTTTCCAGTTTTAAAGGGCTGCATGATTTCGAACTTTTCTGCCTTTTCATGGATCCCAAGCTGGCTAGCTTGTCCCAGGCATCTGTGTTTCCTTGTGACTCCAGCTGCAGGAAACTGATACCTGCAGATAAGTTAATCTAAACTTTTGCTGAAACTTGTGGAGAGAGCACACTGGGAATGTGGGAATAAGCTGACCACTTTGGGAATTTCATTTCTTGCCATCAGTAGACTACAAGCCTAAAGACTACATTTGGTACTGCATTAAGAGGTGGATTTCACTGGATGATGGAAATGCTTCCCAAAAGCAGACAATTTTGGGTCATATTTTAGTGGTGGTTTTACCTATAACTTCTATCAAGGATTTTCTTCTTAGCTTAGAGATATATTTTAATTTACATTACTAGAACAGGAAAAATAATTAAAATTATCCCCCACAAATATCTAACACAGAAGAATAAAGCACAGACTAAGAACTTGACAGGAAATTAATACATTTCAGATCAGTTTTAAACATGGAGTTCCAGCAAAAAATTGGGAATAGAAATACATTTTAATGTCTGTAAATCAGAAGAACTGAAGCAACCTTATAACTTTTTAAAAAATCAAACTCAAATGTAAACAAGCCTTTATCTTTAAATTGTTAAAATGCTATATGAGGTTCTTTGGCATAATAGCTACCTGAGCCAGGCTACCTGAGCCAGGTGTGAATATATTTTACAGACTTGTTTTATCAGGCCAATTTCCATTTCTTTTCAGACACACTCCTACTTGAACAATACTATTTTAAACACTAGTTATTTGTAAAACTCCTTATGGTCAATATGCCCTCTGACACAGAATGTGAAGGACTGGAGGACTCTAAAGCACAACCTGGAGATCCCGGTTGATTTCAAATTGGCACTATCATCAGATTCATGCAGAAGCATGGCACTGTAATGCCTGAGCATGGTGTGGCAGCTTTCCACTTCCCAAAACATCAGCTTTCAGAGTGGTGAAGGGTGAGGCAGAAAGCCTTACTGGGAATCATGAAGGTAGAAGGTGCAAGTTACCCTTCACTGTAGGTAGAAGCACCACATTTACATACAACAAAAAAAAATCCCTCATTTGTACTGCTAGTCAAGGATTACGAAGAAATTTTCAGTGAAATACACCATGATGCCATTGGGAATAATATCTTTTAGAAAACCAGCCATATAGTGTAATTTTTACCACTGTTAGTTTGCCTCCCTAACTTTCTCTTACAGTTCCAGTGATAGAGAAATATGCTGCCTTGATTCTTTTATTTGCTTTCAAACACACATCACCCTATGAAGTGGATGCTGGCAGCTGAGGCATCCATTTTCTAGGCATTACTCTACCAAAATCAACAAAATAGTGGATTATATCACTAAACTAACATCATATATTAAATCTATGCACTGCAACCAGCAGTGCAAAAAGAATGTGCCTTTTATACCTTCATTAGTGTTAGCATCTTTGTTCCACTTAAGCATAGTATGCATGGATGTATATAAAAAATAAATGAGTATTTATATACTGGAGTATTTGTATAAACAGAGAAGCATGTGGGACCACAGCAGGTTCCCCAATTACAAGTCAGCCACAACTTTGCAATGTGGTTATTGGCTACAATCAAGCAGAAAAAATATTTCTGTTGGATTTTCATTTAATTTAAAGCTTTAAAATATCTTTTAGCCTTAAAAAAATGTGAGGGAAGGGGATTATAGAGTTTAGTCAGATGTTTACACTGCTTTGTAACCAATAGAATGCCATAGCATTATTATTTTATGGTTTTTTAGTAATGAAAAAAATAATTCATTTAAACAAAGAAAATGTTATTCCAAATCTATATTTACATGAGCATTGAAATATTCAAAATTGACCTTTTATATTGCAAAGAATCAGTTTTTTTATTCCTTTGGAAGAATAACATGGATGCATTTTCTCATTCTGATTTCTCCAGTGGTTCAAAAGAATTTCTAGGAATGATGTCAGCACATTTCATAAATTAACAGTTGCCGCTCTCATACATCAGATAAGCAGATACATTCAAATTAGGAATGCTAATATGATGCCATGAATTTTCTATTGTTAGGTGTCATTATCTGTATGAATTTATTTTAACTTAGAATTCCTAGAAAAAAAATCTAATTCTTAGCAATATTACATACACTGTACTTGCTGATGCTCTACTGAATAAATACATTAATTGTGTTCTTAACCTACAAGAGATCTATCTTACTAATTTATATCTAATTGAAACTGCTCACATATTCATATAATTATAAGCACAGTAAATGTTATAGTATCTATTAACAATACAAGAAACACTACAAAACGTGTTTAAGGTGCACTTCACTTTGATTTATATGATACCTGAAGTTCTGGAGCTATGAGAGTTTTGCTTTGAATGTACTGCAATTTTACACTCCTAGCACTCTCTCTGGGACTGATCCAAATCCCATTTCTTCAAGGAGCTTTGGATCAGATCTCAATGTGCAGAGCTCAGAAAGCAATTTTTATTCGCTGGATATAGTGCAGATCACTATACAGAAAACAAACACTGTATGCTCTCTCCTGTGGAAAATATATATTTGTTCTTTCCTGTTTTGCTCTTTTCATAAGTTAAATGTAGGTCATACAGACAGAAGGTATATGGCTGCCCTTTATGGATAAAGAAATTTAACACTTCTACAGGGCGTGAGACCAAACACTGAGCAACTGTAATCACTTGAGAAATGTAATAGCTGTGTGCTGTGTCTTATGGCTGTTATGAAATGGAACTTATACCTAAAGATGAGGAAAACAGTTAGTTTTCTCCATTTATGGAGCTATGCCACAGTTATGACATAATTCATAGCCAGACAGAACGTTCCAGTTGTATCCATAGACATTTCATAACTCAGTGTAGTGGAAAACTGATATTGAAGAAAGGTTTTTGCCAAGTAAAGTTATTCATACACAAGCTTCCTTCTCATGACAGCTTCCCCACTGTGCTGCAGAGCGATGCTGGAACTCTGCCTTGGGACCAGCACTTTCTACACCCACGCTGAAGGTTTATGTCCTGAGATGAGGTGCTTCCAGTCCCCTGTGCTCTCCTTCTTATCCTTACTACCTTATTACCCTGCAGTTTTGTGCAGAGAATTTTCTAGTTGCTTTTCTGCAATAAGTTCATAAATGGAGGATCTTCTGGATGTTTCCTCCATGACTGAAAGAATTTAGTGATTATCTGGGGCTTGGGAGCATTTTTCAACTTTCTTTATTACTTATTCTTAAACAGCTGCAGTTACCAGCAGATAAAATAACATGGACCATCCATTTTTCCTTCCAGGACCAAAAAAAGGCCAAAAGAAGAAAAGAATAAAATAGAAAAAAAAAATCTCCTTAATTCTGGCTGCTAAAAGCAACAGCATAGAGTAAAAAAAAATCCAACCCAACAGCAAAATGAAACAAATTGAAAAAACTCAAACACAGAGTTTGATTCCTATGCAAATGTAGGATCTAGAAGTATTCTGGAAAATCTTGCAGAAGTTTTTCTCAATATAGGAACACTGGCAATCATGTATACTGTTTGACTTGTGTATTTTGGAGGTATTTATTCATACCTTTGGCTTAATTTCCTGTCCTTATAATAGACTAAGCCTCAGATGATTTAGTGATCTCCTAATTCCCTGCAATTGCAGTGTGACCCTTTGCAGAGATAAACGTGGTATGTAGAATAACTCCATACTAATCCAAAGAATATGCCTGAGTTAGCTTTAATATCATAACAGGAATGCTAGGTACTGCAGTGTCCAGGGAGGTGGGCAGGGGACTGTGACCACTGTTGGCCAAGGGTTGGAGATTGCCAGGTGAGCATGACAGGACAAGGCTGAAGAACCCGAGGGGCCCTTTGCGTGGTTACAGCCTGCCTGTGGCAACGTGGGTGACACAAACACAGCAAGAACACTGCTCTTTAAGTAGGGGGGACTTAGAAAGGGTTTAAGAAGAAGACCAAAGGGCATTTTATCAAACTAATAGAATTTTTTGGTATTTTTGTACATCTTGAGAGGTCTTTCACTTATTTGTGGGAATATTATATCCATTAAATCCTGCTTCATAACTATGAAATTTTAGCTTTAGTACATAAGGGAGAGTTATAAAGACCAGAAGAAAGAAAAGGAGTTTGGAAGGATGTGAAACCTTGGAAGCAGGTAATGTCTCATTTCTTTTAGGTGGACATGGCCTTGTAGTTCACCTTCACAGGCTGTGAGGTATCCATAGAGGAAACAGTCCCCATGGAGATCCCATCAGGCAAACCTGTGGTGATAAATACATGACCTTCCTTGCTGTGCTTCTATCAGTGCTGCTGTATGTTAAGAGATTGGAAGAAAAATTTGCCCTGACTTTGTGTTCCTCCAGCTCTGAACTCATGCTGACACCAACCTACCTGTCTGCAAGCACTGCAAGACCATTGTAATCTTCCTTCTAAAGCCTGAGCACCTAATGGTATGACCAATCTTAACATCTTAAAACTCCGCAGTTTCAAGCCTCATGAGGTACTAAAAACTGAAGCAGACACATAAGTCTTCTAGGTAAATTATTTATATTACGTAAATAACTGATATGGTTATTAAAAACCATTTACTAAACAATATCAAATGTATATTTAATAGCATGGAATTATATATTTATCCATTTAGGCTAATTATTTTACAGAATCTAGTTAATATTTTAGTAGCTCAAGTAAGATATGAGTTGGCTATAGAGCTGCTTGGCTGATCCCTTAATATTTAAACATGCTGTGTGTCATTGCTGTTAGCAGGAGATATTATTTCATAAAGGAAAGAATTACTTACAGTCATAGAAGCAAGAAGTTCAATGTACAAGTCCACTATTACAGCAAAATGTACAAGTGCATAGCAATTAAGATAAGCTGGTACACGTGGATTGAAGGGAACTTCATTTCCAGTGACCTGTATAAAGCAAAACAGTTACTTGCCTTCAAGAGTGACCTGCTCCTTAATATTCTTTACACTTACAAACACAAAAGGGGTGACAGCTAATTGAAGGAAGATAATCTACTGTCAAACTTATGTACTACCTAGTTTCAGACAGTTAAACTTTGTGTGTTTGTGCATGTCCACAGCTGAAAAAAAAAGAGAAATTACTCTACTCCACAGAAAAATTCTGAAAATCTTTTCAGGAAATGAATAATGAAAAAAATAACTTAAAAACCACGCTTTTTCCTTCAAATAAAAGAAAAAAATACCCCAGAGTTAAAACATTCATTTCCTTCAGTTTCTTTTCCTAATTCATCTTCCCCCATGCTTTATGACTGCTAATTTGCTAATTTAAAATAGCATGTGTAGAGTTTTTAACATTGATCTAGTAGCATTAAGAGGCCCAAGTAAATTACACACAACTGAAAGCCTGTGCATGTTCTATTTACCACTGGGATTTCCTCAGGAAGGCCAAGTCTAGGTTTGCCTGGTCCCCAGCCTGGCCCTTTGAATATGACAGAAAGCTTATTGCAGAATCCAGGTGTGGCCCAAAACGTGTTCCAAATATGAGCCAAGGGACGTAACTGAAAAAAAAAGTTATTTTTCATTGTTCACAAAATAAAGATTATTAAAACATTGCACTTTAGTTTTCAATTAAATTTCAATTTTTAGTTTTCAAATAAATGATTCAAATAAATTATTTTTCCAACTCTGTAAAGAGAATAAATTAGAAATAGATGAAGACAGTTCAGAAAACCTGAGTGAAATTGGCAAAAGCAATATGAAGCCCTTGGTTAATTTGGTGAGGATTACAATGATTTCTGCTCAGAGGAAAGTCTGTTTCTCCATCTGTGTCTCCTGTAATCACTCCTGAGTATTAGTGGTATATTGTATAGCTGTAGTTATACAATTGTGGTATATTGTATAGCTATAGCTCCTGAGTATTAGTGGTATATTGTATAGCTATATTTATGCAGTATGATTTGGTTACTGGGACCTTGAAATGACACACTCTCAGTAATGAAATTAGTATCTGACTGAAATGGATATAATTGTACATCATCCCACTTTCCAGCCCTGACAGTAAAATTTCTCTTTCTTTGGGATTCCTCCTTGGATGAACAGTCATGAAAAGCAAATATGGACTCCACTGCTTCTCATGTTTTTGCAGAGAACTTTTACCTAGCTTAAGTGAAACCTGAACCAATAAATCTAAGAAGCACCACACTAACTAGTTTTCTTTTCGTTTATTATATGCTTTTGTCTGTGCTTCACTATGTATTTTTGCACTACAAAACATCTCATTCAGTCCAACACTGTTCTAATTAGTTGTTCGTTTTACTGTTATATATTTTCATGATTACTACAAACTCTGCATAAACTCAATGCAGTGAGTAGAAATGCCTGTCTCATCATGAAATACTGAAGTGTAGATAATGTAATTGACTGGTTAGCAATGCACGGATGGCCTCAACTATGCTTAAGAGAGGAGTTTCTTTTGAATATGACTGAATGTTGAAGATATCAGAATCAGTGATAAAAATTATAGCACCTGGAGCATGATGGGATCAAATGAATTTACTGGATGCGTTAAGCCATATACAACTTTTGCATCTTCAGCCTCAAATGTTCCTGATGGAAGAAGAAAACAAAAGAATGACAAACAATCAAATTCAAAAGTATACGTATTTTTGCCACACTGATTAAACATGACAAAGAACATCTTCTTTTACTTACCAAATATCCTGTCCCAGATAATGAGCGTGCCACCATAATTTTTGTCAATGCAGTAAGGATTTCTACCTGCAATAAAAATAAATTATGAGAAAAGTAATAGAATAAAGAAGAATACTAGGAACTGAATTATGAAGGAAAATCATCATTTGCATCACTTCATAATCTAAAAAAAAACCTGTAAAAGATAGCTGTCTCACCACTCCTCATACTTCGATATATATTTCTTTTTTCCTTAATAGCCTTATTGCTCTCTTTCTATTCAGATTCAGACATACAAATCCAATGTGTCATGGCAATATTTCTGTGAAATTCAGAGAGTAAAACCAGTCAAAATAAAATGCAAGCTAAAAAGCAATCAAAAATTATTCTACCAGTTCCAACAAAATATGCTAAATACACATATGGGTAGTTACTCATTAATATTTGTCAGGTGTCTCTGTCCTCTACGTCATATGTCTGATCCTGAACTATTAACATCAGTGTGAGGAAAGTTGATCCTTCTATGTTTTCTAGGGAATGTATTTGTATATAAGCCGTCCTCTCAAAGTTATGAGTAAAGAAGCATTGGTTACACATCCCTAAGTTTGTGGAGATAGTCTGGAGCAACTGTACAGCCCCTGATCAGTTCCATAAAGATTCAGCTTAAATCCAGTCAGATTTACAGCTGAGCAAACAAGAGCAGACTGTCTCCCTGAGGATTACCAGTAGTTGTCCAAATTTTAAGGACTAGACACTTAGAGCACCACAACTGTGGGTACAGTGATTGTGAGGATACAATAAACATTAATAACATCCTCTGCGCATGTAACTCAATTTGAGTCTATTTCAAATTGTTCTTCCATTCCCCTACTTTTTTTTTAAACTTACTATCTCTGCACACTGAATGAGCTAAGGACATCTGTGAAATCCACTTCTGTGTCTCAGATATGTTCATGACATTTTTCAGTATGCAGTGGAGTTATTAGTACAATGTACATATGCAGTACAGTCTTGAATACTCATAAAAAATCAATCATCGTGCACTTCTGTGAAGTGGGATTTACCAATTATTCAAACAGGTGAAATCAAATTCCACTAAAATATTTAGAAGTTCTTTTAAAACCTAACCATGTTTTTCACAGGTACAGTGCTTGAATTTGAGTGCAAAAGTTTATTTATGATTCAGTAAGGATGAGATATTTTTCTATCCCTCTTCATACTTAAAAACATTGAATGTTTTTTCTCAAAGTCTTCAGATTATTTCATGTTATCCATATTTAATTTCTCCTAAATAATTAATCTTAAACACAAAAATGTTCACATTAAGCCTAAGTTCTGATTATATTTTTTTAAAAAACTGTGAAATTTCTAACTGAACAGGGACTATTTCTGAAGTAGAGGTCAAAATTAAAATCTTTCTGTAAAACTGATTTTACAGTACAATTTTACTATATTACTATTACTATACAAATAGTGACCCTGAGAAAAAAAAAAAAAGGAATAAGAGGTTCCACTTTTATCTTACCATGATGAACTCTGTGATGACTGGGAGTATTAAGTATCCATTCCAGAGGCCCAAGTTTGTTGATAACCTTAAAAAACATAATGTTTCAATGAACTTGAAAATACTGTACAAGAACAAGAAGTAGGGAAATGATATTTCGGAAGAGCTAAAGAGAGGATGTTTATCTCCTGGAGAACTACCTAAAACTACAGAACTGCAATATTTTTTTCTGAATCATATCACTGTATTACAGCTACAAAAATTTTCATTAAAATATTAAAATACAAGTTATAAATTAAATTTATTTTTGATCCAGAAGCTAATTTCTTTTGATCTAAAACTGAATTGTTTTTATCATTATTCCATGAGAATATTTGAGAGAACTGGCAATCATGAACTGATAAGATGGAATCACAGGGAAGTGATTGTCCCAGTGTAATAAGCACTGGTGAGGCTGCACCTTGAGTACTGGGTTCAGTTTTGGCCCTCTCACTTCCAGAAAGGACACTGACATGCTGGAGCATGTCCAGAGAAGGGCAATGGAACTGCTGAAGGATCTAGAAAACACATCATCTGAGGAGTGACTGAGGGAACTGGGATTATATAGCCTGGAGAAAAGGAGGCTTGGAAGGACTCCACTGCTCTCTTCCTCCCTCAAAGGAGGTTGCAGTGAGATGAGGGTCAGTTTCTCCTGCCATTTCCCAAATGAAAGAACAAGAGCAAAAACCTTTAAGTCGTGCCAAAGGAGGTTCACATTGGATATTAGAAAAAAAAAATTCACCAGAAGAGTGTTTGGGCTTTGGAATAAGTTGCCCAGGGAGGTGCTGGAGTCACCATCTCTAGAAAATTTCCAGAGACATCTGGATGTGGCACTTGGGGTGATTCTGGTGATGCTGGGTTGACAGTTGGACTTGCTGGTCTTGAAGATCACTTACAACCTTGATGATTCTGTGATTCCATACAAATTGTTTCACTCATTTTTCTTATTCATATCCAGTGACAATGCTTGGAATTCAGTGCAACTCTATGATCCCACTTTTGCAAACACTATGTCTGCAAATAGCTGCCATTGACCCAAAAACAAATACTCCTCTCCTCTTCAGTACATCTGACTGCTTGTTTCTTCTATCAGTAGCCTTCTTTTATCCGGACACAAATGCATTAACCCAAGAAACCTGACTAGGGAACTGATAAAAATCAAAGCTGCTTTTGTTTTGTTTTTCTTATTCAGTTTAACTGGATCAGATCCTGATTTTGGTCCAATATTTGGTCACAAATACACTGCCATGAGTTGGAGGCATGAAGAGACAGTAGATCAGCACAAATTCATCATGGAGATACAATCTAAGGGAATGATCGACAATAGAGAAAGATAGCCTTGATTATTATAGTACCAGCCCAAAAATGATAGACAGTATCCATTGCCAAAAGCCAAATCTAGGGCTTCAAGCTTTGTCAGAAAATGCCGACAAATTAAGTTTCTGCCAGCAGGCTTTGTGCTGAATTAGGTACTCTCAGCTACTATGGAATTAAAGGAAAGCCACCACTGACTTAAAATTTGGTACTTTGGTTAGCTCAACCGAAGTGTGTGGACAAACAAACAAACAAATAAATAAATAAATAAATAAAAACAAATTCTGACTAATAATAGTGGAAGTATTTTCTTTGAAAACAGCAATCATTCCTTAATCCCAAACACAAATCCATCTGTCACAAATCGATGCAATCACTGGATGACCGAAAAAGATATCTATTCACAATATATTCTGAAATAGTATCTATTCACCAGATTTGATTATGGCCAGAATGTCTTGCAATTAAAAGGGAGCAGGGACCATTAAAGCAGCTAAATAAAAATGCTTAGACCTGAAGAAACAAATCCAAGAATGTAGAATTCTTTTCCTTTCAGAGAATTTAATTAGTAAATTTAACACTCATACTGCCAAAAGAGGTTATCTGTAATATAATAATAGAGATAATAATGGAAAAAAAAAATTTAGAGGGACAGCCATTACTCGTGAGATCAGGTCCATTAATCTAAAACAGATTTTCATTCCTTTAAGATTTACAGAACAAAGTCCTGAAATATGGCACTTACATGTCTCTTTAATTTACAGTTCTGCAAGTGCAAGTAGATTTAGATTCAAAAAGCAGACTTAGCATATTCCTCAGATGCATTTAAATTGTTATGAATCAGGTAAAGATAATAAAAGGAAAAATAACATGTTTTCATTTTTTTCTCTTCAATAACTGCAAAAAGAACATCTACTTAATTGTAAATAGAGAATTTCTGTAATTAAAGGAGTACAGAAATACAAAAATTCTTCACCTACATAGAACTGTAATATTTGGACCATCTTTCTCAAAATCCTGCTCACACTGGAAAAAACAGAATCCTGAGACAAGTTCGTTTTGTTTCATTTAACTCAGAAGCCAAGGAAAACAAAAGCCGGATCAGCTCTCCCTCAAAATAAGTTCACATCTGAAAAGACCACCTAAAGGTAAGAAACGATCCATCATTTGTGCTAGTTCCATTTTCTGCCTTTCTCAAGCAGAACATCCCACTGTTTTAAGATATGTGAGATGTGACCATTAAATTAATTTAATCTGAGACAAATGTTTTGAATTGAACTGCAGCCCAGCACCTGAGCGAGCACTGATTTATCTAATAGACCACAACTAACTTTGATCCAGTTGGTTTTAATATATTTTAGCTCAATATTTTAACAGTTTTTGTAAGAATAAACCAAGTGTGCACTAGGAGGGCAGGGAATCAGTAAGGATTAGCAGTCTTCGACTTTATCCTACAGGTGGATTGTAACAGAATGTCCTCAGAATGAATGCCTTCAGGTCTCAATATCCAGTCGGTTGAATTAAAATTTTAAAATTAAAATTCATTCTTTTTCACAATCTACATAGTATATCCTTATGCTAAAGCAGAACTTTTTGTCTTGGGACTCTCTAAGGACCTGCAGGTAAAACTTTATATAAATTTATATGCAGAAATTTAAATCAATTTTTCTGATTAATAATAGTGGAAGTATTTTCTTTGGATAACAAAACCGTTCTCATCCTTTAAAACAGTCTTTCTTTGAGTGATGAAATTTAAACACCTATTGAAATATCTTCTCTATGTCATAATTAGTGATTGATACCCAAGCCTGCTTTAATTAATTATTCACTCAAGGTCACCTTCATTGCAAAGACATTTTAGCCCCACTGTGACAAAAATATCATCTGAGACAACAATCATAATCACATGACTTTAAAGTTCAGAGGGGGTGCAGAACTCTATGTTGACATTAGCAATCCATAAATCAATGCTTTGTCTAAAACACATCAAAAATATTTTTTCACCAGATAGTCAAAATAGTACAGGGTGCTATTTCTAGAAACTTCCTTTGCCATCAGTAAGTTTACTTGTAGATATTTATCACATTTCTAAAAAAAACATTAAAAACTGTTGTCGGAGGAAAAATTTTGGTGCCAGAATATTTATAAATGCATAAATGCTATAAATATAACCCTAATCCTTCCAAGAAACAGAAATATATCACCACTGAAAAAATGAATTTTGAAGGCTCTTGCAGCACTTACATGTCAAACAACATAGCTCTTTTGTTTAAAGTTGTTGAATTTTTCTATTTTCTGCCATCTTATCTGGGGCAAAACTCTTACAAGCAGATTTTTCATCTAAGTAAAATGGATAGGATAGCAAGACAATTTTTGCCAGACAAGATTCTGACATGGCCATGTCAAGCTGACAAGAATTTACTGCAGTCATATTGAAAGGAATTAATTTAGTAAGAACTGACTCATAACAAAATTTAATGCGGTGTAGCAACAGTCCTGGTTCAAAAGAATAATCCAGAGAGAAGAAAGGCAGTGGCAGGTATCCTGCTTACCCATCTACCTTTCTTCTGTCAGTCTATCCTCATTTCTGTGTCTTTATTATTTCCAGACATTTTCTTTGGAGAATGCCAATTTCAAAGGAGTTTATAAGCATTCTTTGTAGCAGTAACCTGGCTCACACTGCAATTACAATCAGTCACCAAAGCACATAGACCACTAAGTTTCAGCCATTCAGACAGAAAAACATTTTTAGCTTACAATATGATTGTATTCAAACTGTTTTCTTAGAGTAAGAGCTTTCATGATGTTCATCAGAAAAAAAAAATTAAACTTTTTAAAGAACACCAAACAAATATGATTAGAAGATCAGCTTAGTTTTTGATACTTGTAATTGGGATTTTAATTTTTAAAAAATCTTCTACTCTAATTTTTGTATCTGACCTTTTTATTGGAAAGTATCCTAAAAAGTAAAAAAACAATAGTTGAAATGTCATTGTTCAATAACTCCACCATCAGTACTTGAAAACTTATTCATATTACTCAAAAGAAAAAAGTCTGCTTGTGAATATAAAGTAGTCTTATTTTATGTAACATCAACTTAAAGTGATTATGAAAATAGCTACTGATCCTCTAAAAGTTCAAATACCTCAACTGTTGTCCAGTGATAACCTTATCTGTATTTTGACCATTAAGACTGGGGGCTTACATTTGTGCTTGTTTCACTGATACAGACACCTCTGTTCTAAATCAACTCCTGTCTGCAATTTTTCCTTTCTCAATTAACACATCATGTGCACCTAAACTCCCATCCCAGTGACCCATAGATGAACTGCAACATTCCAACAAAACTCTTTTCCTGTTTCCTTTATTTTTTAACATCCCATTGCCACAAAAATAATTTTTCACCTGTCAAAATCCTTACAAATGGACTCAATAAACTACCTGCAAATCAAATATGTAGGCATCTCATATATATATATATATATATATATATATATATATATATATATATACACATATATATATGTTATAAAAGTTTCTTCTTTCTTTCTTTTCTTTAAAAAGCAATGTATTTCCTCTGTTATACTTGGGTATCACAATAAAGCAGAATTACCGACAATAATTGAAGCAACTCCAAAGCAGTCTAATAAACAAAGTATACTTAGAAATACTTTTCATACATTACTGAGTAAAATATCCTGGAATTGAAATCTTCAAATAAAGATGATAGAAACA